GTTTGTTTCTCAAGAGTTGTAATTTTCGTTTTGTTGTGTAGAAAAGGTCTTATAAAAAGATTATTCTTTTGAATTTGTTGTAATCGAACAAAGTTATAATGAATTCCTCAACAGAACCGACTTTTGACGCAAACACTCATCATGTGGACTAACAGTTCATGCAGACGCGTAATACTGTGGCTTTGCGCTTATCTGTCCATTTTTTTCCTATTAATTTTTGCGTTCTAGAAAACTTTGAGAGAGTTTTCTTCAATACGTTTCATAAGCAAAATAATGATCATGATCATAATCTATGAAATAAACTCTGTTTTCAGTCTTCCTCTTTGATGTTCGATTGTTCTAACGGAAAAAAGATAAAGACATCAAAGGGAACCTCTAACTAATTACAATTCATGATAGTCTTTTTCCATGTTCATGATGATTTTTATCTTCTAGAACCCCTCATAATTCATGATACTTCTGAGAAACTAGTATGGTGCATGTGCTTTGTACGTGTATCTATTTTCATATTTAATTTAAAAGTAAAGGTTAAATTATAAATTCCTTGAAAAATGTATTTAATGTAAAACTCTATTTTTGGTATTCAAAATAATTTTGTGGGATTTAGAGGGCTAACAATTGTTTTGAAACTAAACCTCTTCTCTTCTTTCTTTTATTTACTGCAGTTATTGTTCTTTGGCTGTAAGAATTAATGATATTGAATATAATGTTATGTGCGTTAAAAAATAACCTTTTACAAATCTTTCATGAGGTTGTTAAGATATAATTGCCCTATTTTATTTTTTGATCATTTCTTTCTCAAAAAGAGAAAAAGATTACACACGAATAAAGAATACATTGATTAATGATATTGAATATCATTTCTTTCTCAAAAAGAGAAAAAGATTACACACGAATAAAGAATACATTGATTAATGATATTGAATATAATGTTATGTATATAAAATCCACATTATTAATGATATTGAATATAATGTTATGTATATAAAATCCACATTAATTACTAATTCTTAATCTTGCTTTCCCTCTTCTCTCTAAGAGTCTTAAAAGAAATCAAAGAGAAGATACTTTTTTTTGTGTATGTCTAAAATATTGTATAAAGAATGAGATCTTTTACATCCAATTTTTTTATAATTTCATAAGATTTAGAAAATAAAGTGAATTAAATTAAAATTTAATTCAGATATTAAGAAATAAAGAATAACAAAAGCAAGTTAGATAAAATCTGAAAGAAAATATACTCATGATAATCACATTTTTATTACAATTTTATACCCTTATTATCTATTTTACATGAATAAATATACCACTAATAATTGTTTTTATCTTTAATTATAGGTTAATCAAGAATAAAACCCAAGATCTCTTCTCTCAACAAAAACCCATGAATTAAATGAAGAACAAAAGCAAGAGCCAAAAGCCCAAGCCCAGAATCAAGCCGAGTAGCTTGTAGAAGCCGAAGAAAATAAAAAAATCAAATATGAAAAAAAATGTATTCAAGATGATTGACCATAAAGAAACGACGATATCTCTCAATCCGGAAGGCAAAATTTAACATATAATATATGAAAATCGCTTATCTCGACGAGACGAAACCATCTGTGAAGTCAAATTTTAGAAATAGTTAGCATCGATGGCGGCATCGATGGGGCATCGATGACGGCACCGATGCCTGTATCGATGCCAACGTCAGTCTGTTACGAATCTAATGCTGAAATTTAAGGTTTTTGGATAAGATTTTGATCCAAGAGCTCACATTCATTGATGTTTACTATAAATAGGGATAGAGAGTAAGGGGTTAGAGGTGTGAAAAATTTTATAACTCTATTTGGAGAGGAGTGTTACTCTTAATTGAGAAGACCTTTCAAAAATTATAACTTTTTATTGTAATCAATAAAAAGAATTTTTTTACCACTTTAAATTTTCTTCTCTTTGTTTGATGATGATGATGGAGATGAAGATCAATTAGAAGGTTTGCTTTTATTTTATTTTTCTCTTTTATTTTTTATTTCTTTTTAGTAATTTCTTTCTTATTGCTTGTTAGTTTAGATTTACATTCATGTCTTGTAGAGTAGATTTATTTTTTTGTATTGATTTTATGCATTTTTAATTTGTAGAGTAGATTTATTTTCTTATATTTTTATTTCTTTTGTAATTTAGTTAGATTTATTTCTTGTCCATAGTGTAAAGTTCCTTGTTCTTATTTCTTTTCTTTATAATTAGTTCTTATTCTTTTTCATTTAATTCATTGTTTTTATCTTTTAAGATGTGGAACTAATTCTTGTAGGAATCTTAGAATTACATGAAATTAGATTTATTTTCTTTATATTATATGAATTATTCTCTTATGCTTAAAATAATCATGTATAGGATAATCAACTAGAGAACTAATTGGTAAAAGAAAAATTTGATAATCTATGCTTATCTTGAGTGGTTTGATAGGTTATGCTTATGAATTCTAGAATTATTATCTAGTTGTTATTCTTTTCATGAATATTAATTTTACTTAGATGATAATTTGATAGGTTATACTTCCTTAAATGGTTTGATAGTCTATGCTTAATAAATCTAAAGTAAAATATTATAAAAAGAGAATAGTTCATATTTTGTAATTAAAATTAGCTAGTGGAATTTAATTCTAGATTTCTCATATCTTTAATTGAATCCTTCATCTTTTCTTTCTTGATTTTTTCTTTGTTCTTAATTTTCTATTATTTGTTTCTTGATCTTTATTATTATTTTTCTTTCCTTATGATTTTATTTATTCTTTATCACATCCACTCTCAATCACCTTTTATGCTTAATTACACATAATCACTCTCACTCCTCATATCTCTCCACAACCACATTTATCATCACTCCTAATTGTCACGCACACAACATAAGAACCGATTCTAATAATTTCTTATAAACACCTTCCTCGTTGGATCGATAACTTTTTATACTATAACTTGATTAGTTATGCACTTGTAACTTTTGGTACATATTTATGCCGTATCAAGTTTTTCGCGTCATTGCCGGGGAAGGTGCTTAAGTAGGATTTTATTTATTTTTGGTTCTTTAATTTGTGTGTTTTCTTGTGAAAGAACTACTTGGAGATTAAAGATCAAGGATTGGAGATTAAGGATTTGGAGATTCTCTTATGGTAGTAAGTCTTCTTCCTAATATTTTTAATTCCACATCTTTAGTTAGTTTATCACAATTAGCGACAATTAGGATCTAAAAAGAAAAAAAAGATTTTATTT